TGACTCAGTTCTGGCCATTGTGGCTACTTGGGGCGTGAGTCAACGGACAGATCTGTCTCTCCTCTCTGTAAATATGCTTTTCCAATAAAAAAAATAATATTTTTTAAAAAAGAAACAATTCTAAAACAAAAGGTTCACATTATGAACACTATGTCTGTCATCTTAAAAAGTGTCTTTAGGATCAGGCCTGCTCAGGGTCATCTTGATCCTGTGCGTCCAGCAGTGGCGATAGGTGACTCCAGATGGGGCCTGCCCAGTGTTGTCTTTCCTCTGCATACCACAGTGGCAGAGGCAACCGTGGGTCATGCTCTAGGGACTTGGGCATGTGGGCATCTGGGATAAGGCACAAGTGAGGTTAAGCAGGACCTGAGGGATCATGTCCCAGGTGAGAAATGACTACCAAGGGACCTCCATGGACAAGGCCACTGTGCTTCCAGGTACTTTCAGGCTGTACTTTCCGCTGAGATAGAGTGGTTTGGAGGGAGGAACAAGAAGGCCTTTAAGGGTCAGACTGAAACACTGGCACACATGTGAGACCTAGGCAGGCAACCATCACTGAATACCACTCACTGGCACACACTGAAGCTAGGGCTGGGGCTGGCTGGCAGGACTGGAACAGAGTATTCACCAGTGAGTCAGAGCAGGGCTGGACCATGACACTAACCAGCATGCAGGAGAATTAGATCTAGGGACAGAGCATGATGGGAAGTATATGAGCTCACTAATGTGCAACTACAGTCTCCGTTGGCATGTGCCAGATCTGTACCTGGGAACAGGCCTGGCTGGGGAGTTAAGGGGATGCCCTGGCTGGATTGGTGTTCCCACCAGTAAGTGTAAGAGAAGGATGGCGGCAGTGGGCTGGGCTGGACGTGACTGCAGTCTCCATTGGCAGGGATGTGAACATGGCTGGATCTGGGGAGCACAAGACTGGGCTTGGCTCCAGCATCCACTGATATTCACGAGAGCCAGAGTGGGTATAGAACAGGCTGGGCGAGGTTTCGGCTCTGCTGAACCACGTGAGAGATGTGTCTGGGCATAGACCAGGTATCTGGACTGTCACACAACAATAAGGACCAGAAAGAGTACTGACAAGTTGGGGGATACTGTTCCTGCCGAGACAAGAGGTAGACAAAGTCAACCTGGGCCAGGGACCTACCGGTGTGTGGGAGGAGACCCGACAAAGGAGCTTAAGAAACTCTTTGGTCAGGATTTAGTCCCTGTAGGTGAACACAAGAATCAAGGGCAAGGAGCAGCCCAGGCCATGCCAGGATTCAGTACCCACCGGCATACATGTGGGTCAGGTCTGGAAGCCAGCAATAGATACGCAATGGGCAGTAGATAAGCAATAAGTGTGGTCACACTTAATCTGCGAAATCTTTCTGAATTACTTGAAATTGCCACGTATCATAAAATATAATCCTTTTTTGATTTGTTGCATTTTAATGTTAAAAAATGTTAAACTAGGGCCTGGCGCAGTGGCGCAGTGGTTAAGGTCCTCGCCTTGCACGCCCGGGATCCCATATGGGCGCCAGTTCTAATCCCGGCGGCCCTGCTTCCCACCCAGCTCCCTGCCTGTGGCCTGCGAAAGCAGTTGAGGACGGCCCAAAGCTTTGGGACCCTGCACCCGTGCGGGAGACCCGGAAGAGGCTCCTGGCTTCGGATCGGCATAGCATTGGCCGTTGTGCTCACTTGGGGAGTAAATCATCGGACGGAAGATCTTCCTCTCTGTCTCTCCTCTCTGTATATCCGCCTTTCCAATAAAAAAAATAATAAAATAAATCTTTAAAAAAATGTTAAACTAATTCTTAGTTTCTGGCCCACACAAAAATAAGCAGATCATATGTGGTGACACCTGTCCTGGATTATTTTAGCAGTAATTATATATTCATTAATTTAATGAGCTATTAAATTGTTTCTACTATGTAAATATAGATATAACCATCTAACTACCTATTTTCTTGTTTATTGTTTTTTTTTTTTTTTGCATAGCAGGGTAAAGGTTTTAACAGAAAGATTGGAACAAACAATCCAATTGCACAAGTGTTGAATTTTGAAATGGTATTTTCATTTTTATTTCCTTTTCTCTTTCTCACTCTCACTCTGGGTGGTGAGAGCTGATCTGCTTAGATGTTCATTCCACCCCTGTCAGCTGAGTAACAATCTCTCCTTGCTTTCTGTCTAATCTGCAGGCCTCACAGGAACTTCAAGCCACTCCACATTCCCAGCACACACAGGTGCGACATTCATTCCTGTTTCTTCCTTTTTTTTCTAAGTGTTGAGTTCCAGCCAAATCTTACCCTGGAAAGTAAAATAGTGGCGAGGAAAGAATCCCAAAGATGGCATTTGGCCTTATTTCATGACACTCAGTCTTCATTTAGGGAAAGGAGCGCCTCTTGAGTGTGAGAAGCTTGGCACAGGGAGAGAAGCACTTTTTTCAGACAAGCCTATTTTAACTAGTTTACAGCTGGCTATGCAGATGGGGCTGTAGGTCAGGTGTGCTTATGTGTGGGTGTCTATAAATCCACACCCATTTTGAACCAGAAACCTCCAGATTACATTTCCAACAGGAGCACGAGTCCAGTTCAGGTAAGCAAGCAAAACTTTCAGATTATTTAATCCATGCTCAGATGCTGCTACATTTAAATGATCAACTTTTGCTGTTTAAAAGTGTGGCTTCCAAAAAAGGGCAGGGAATGTCAAATGAAGTCGTGTGCTTCATCTTTTGCTGGATTGAATTGTCTTCGCTGGTTTCATAGTTTCGTTCTCTGTATTAATGGCATTAGAATAAACTAGCATCAACTAAAAATGACTGCAAGTTAATCTGGAGGGGACAGTGATTCCCCCCAATTGTGTGTGTGTGTGTGTTTTAAATGCAGAATTTTAATACAATATCCAAAGAAATGGTTTATGTTATTTTGAGAAGCAAAATATAGTGTCAGAAAATGCTAGCCAGCCCATGTTTATAAAACCGAATTGTACCAAAACAAAAAGTAAGATTTCAGCTTAAGCAGAAAATATTTGCTAATATACAAATACTTGAACTTCGCAGAGGGAAGGGAGTTCCCATTCAACTCTAAACATGGCAGCTTTAAAATGGCAAGAGATGGAATTAGACTTTCTTCTTAACAGATTCCACCTGCTTCTCTTCATCTTTAGTGTAGAGAACATTTCCAGCTCTTCCTCCAGATGGATATTTCCTAGGTCTTCTTTACATACAAGAATCCGGGGCCCTTTTCCCTAGAAGAAATGAACAGAGGCACATTAATCTGCACATACATACAGTTCAAGGATTCTTGAGCTCCCTGTTGTGATCCGGATCTTCCAGAAGCTCCCTGGGTGCAGGTGGACAGCCTGTCCCAGATGGTCACTCCGTTTTCTCCACTTCATGCCACCTATCATCTGAAGTCCCTGCCTTGAACTGCCAATCCAGGCTCTGTCTCTCCCCACTGATTCCCACCCTTGCTTGGATTGAGTCCTCAAGGTACAAGAAGACATTCTGTAATGTCTTGTAGTTCAATCCTTTATGAGATCCTTATCAGGCACCGGGGTTACTGTTTAACAGAATTGGTTAGTGCCTGAACAGGACGAAAGTAAAACAAAGCAAGTTAATGGTAGATCCAGGAGGAAAATAATTCCAATTAGGTGAACCTGAACCTGGAGCACCAAGCATTTTAATCCAGAGAGTGGACAGTTTATTCTAATACCGCCGAGAAGAGGCATACACCAGTACAGGAAGAATGAGGAACTGCCTGGAAAAAGCCACCCTGTGTAAACCTCACCACCACCAGTCCACTCTTCTCCCTGTCTACCGTTGCTGTTTACCTGACTACGCCACTGCAACACCACTGGCTTCAGCAATGCCAAAGCACCTTGCCTTAGTAATGCTGTGACTTTGTACAATGGCTAACACAGCACACTATAATAACTTCCATGTTTGAACAGTCCGTGAAGAGTCATTTAATTTGGCCAGGGAATTTCCCCCATTTGGTGAGAAATTCACCACTGAATAACACAAATATGCAGGGGGGAGGGGAAAGAACTTTCAGTGAAGCTGAAGGATAGCTGCGTATTTATTTCCTAGTATGAGATGAAGTTTCAAAACAGCATGTAGGTTTTATTTGCTATGAATGCTGTAACTAAGCAACATCTGACAGATGTAGAACACACCTTGTCATATTTACTAAGTGGTTTTAGACCAAATCAAGCCAAATTTAAACTTTTGATTAGACCTTATCGTGCAGATTTTAAAAAAAAGCACACTAAGTTTAGAACCAATTTTAATGCTACCTAACAGAAATGAGATCACCTGTCTGTTATTTAAACAAACATTTCACTCATAATAATGTTCCAATCCTTGTTTTTTTGTTTGTTTGTTTTGGTGGGGGGTGTAAGGGGGCATTGGAAGAAGCAGAGGGAATGAGTAACTTTTGGTAAGAATGGAAAAGTGAGCAAGTACAAACGGATTGAAAAACAAAGATTCGGCATGCTCTAATTTGCCTTTAATTCCCATTATAAGCAGTATCTTTTCCTGTCTAACCTTAGCATGACACAGTTGGAATATTGTTGAAACTACCAGGTGTAGAGCCCTGAAAAGGCAAAGGGTATTCCTGGATGCAGGACGGCGCCGAGTACTGCACTTTGCACAGTTCTCACCGACCCCACACTGCTTGCATCTCTCTGCGATGTTACCTCGTTCAGAAGCCGGTTTTGTGTGCCTCAATCCAGTTCTCTCTTAACTGCCTTGCCCTGTGCCCGGGATGCCCAGAGCGTGACTTTTTACCGAGTGAGCATTCCCTCAGTTCATTCTATTTCAAAGAAATTTTAAAAATAGAACCTGAATGGAATTTGTGAGTGGTTAGACCACGTCAAACCAAAGAAGCAGAACAGTTTGCCCACTCCGGTTTGCTCTGGCTCTTAGCAAACGTCTGTTAACAGCAACAGGATTCTGATAATTATCTTCCGTCCTCCAGCTGCTCCTGAAGAACCGCCTAGAAGGCGCGATGCTACATTATGCGTTGGCCCTCTGCCTGCTTCTCATTACAGTCTCCTCCAATCTAGCTATTGCCATCAGAAAAGGAAAGAGGCCACCCCAGACACTCTCAAGAGGTATGATGGTCTCATTTGATTTTCTAAACTCAGTCCTTTGGATTGTTGGGGGGAAGAAAATGCTCGGTATTTCCATCCATATTCTAGCTAGGAAGCAAACTCAAGTTACCAGATTTCTGTTGTCTGTGGCTTCAGAATAGACTTTAAAGAAAAGCAGTGAGGATCGGTTGAGTTTTGGTAGGGATTTAAACTTATTGGTAATAATAACAACAATTTCCAATGGCAGGCATTTGGCCCGGTGCTTAAAATGCCCATATTCTGTATTAGAGGACCGAGGTTCAGTGTCTAAATCTCCTGCCTGACTCCTGCTTCCTTCTGATGTGTACCCTGGGAGGCAGCAGTGGTGCCTGGAGTAATTTGGTCCCTGTCACTAAAGTGGGAGACTTGGAATAAGTTCCCAGCTCCTGGTCTGGGCTTGGCTCAGGGCCACCTGTTGTAGGCATTTAGGGAATGAATCAGCACATGAGAGCTCTAGCTCTACCTCTCAAATAAACTTAAAATTTTAAAAAGTTATTTGTTGTATCTTTCGGCAAAAGTAGTGGAGAATTGAATTACTGTCTCTTACTAGAATAACAAGAGCCCTAGAACACAGTTGCTTGGTATGTCATCAGAAGGTCTTAAAAGAGTGTTCTTTGACATGTGCTCCAATTCCCACTCCTGCTAATTAAGAAAAAGAATTGTGTTGATTCTATACAAAGTTACCTAGAAAATTATACTTTACAGCAACTCCTGAGATTTTAGACCAGCCAAGACCTTACTCTGTTGATTCCCAGAGACACATTGCCATGGTTTCAGGTGTCTTCAGCTAACTTTACCATTCATTTTATGGTTAGAAAAATTTTCCATTTCTGTGCTATTTTTCCTTGGCCTTAGAAACAAATATGACATCAGGTGTAAAGAAATATTATTATAAATAAAAAAAGTTTACATTTCCTGGTAAGTTAAAACAGAACCATCCATCCTTACCCAGGCAATTCAGAAATCAGCAGTCTAATTACAGAGGCCCTGCTTGTACTTGGAGCAATCACATGAGTGGAGCAAGCCAATGAAAACCTCATGTGGGATCATTTAAATTCCAAAACATCGATCTGCTTTCCAAGTGCACTCATTTATTAACAGGTGTACTGAATGCCGGCCTAGGGCACATCACTGTTTACCTGTTAATTCTGTCTGCACCTGCTATATCCAGAAACTCAATTTTTTTTTTACCAAAGAAAAAATGCATTCAAAGGGAGAAACACAATTTCTCATGTATTTCTATATATTTCTAATCACAGGGATATTGAACAAAAGCATCAGGTAACCACATAAAGCCAAAGACTCACCCAGGCACAGCCCTGAAACCCCTTCTATGACTGAGTGAGGACACATCGCTACACACGCTCTGTGTTCACTTTTAAATGTCGGCTCGAAGCTTTTGGTGAATTTGATGAAAATATATTAAATACATAAACTGTATTCTATAGGGTTTAATAAATCTTCTATTTCAAGTATTAACGAACTATTTTAAGAGTGAGAATTAACATTAGCCAAGAACCCCATTATTAAAATTCAGATTGTATGTAGCTTGGCTTATTGCCATCTACTGCTATGTAAGAAACAATGGAGAGAAAAAAGCTCAAAATAAATGAGGATTAATGGTGGGAGAGGGAAGGATCTGTGTGAAGTATACAGGTAGCACATGGAGCAGAGAGCAGCACCAAACAGCCAAGTGATACAGGGTGATACAGGAGAAAAATTTTAATTGGATCAAGACAATGTTTCCAGAAATGAAAGTACTCGTGCACAGAATGATCCAAAACAACCTAACTGCTGTTGAATCAAGAGAGCTGCCCAGCACCCAGTGCATCACCCACCATGTGGTAGGCACCCAGTAACAAACACATGGAGGGAATGAAGCCAGAGCTACAGGTGGAATCAGGAGCCACACACAGAGATGCTGAGGAGATGTCAACTTCTGGATCACCTCAGCCCTGTTGTGATGATGAGACAAAGCACATCAGAAATAATCAGACTCTAACTTGGCTCCTGATGGGACCGAGAGGGTGGGATTACAGTATCACATGTGTCTTCCCAGTGACTGGTACGGAAAGGCGCATCTACAACACACACTCTCTCGTGTGTGAACCTAAATGCAACAGGCAGAGATCAGAAAATACGAATTCCTCCCACGGCTGATGCTCTAGCACTGAGTGATGCTTGCAGCAACAGAATATGGAAAAAAGAGGCTGGGGTATAACTGCACAGTAAGTTTCCAAAATGGATTTTCTTTGATGTATAATGAAACAAAGTTGGAGAGAATCACTCAGCAGTATGACAGAGGCTAACAGGTTTGGATATTATGAGGTGGTGAAACGAGCTTAAACCTAAAGGAGTCTCCCAACGTAAAGATTTTAAACCAGGCAAAAACAAACCAACGACATGGCTGGTGAGACTGTGAAATGATGCAGCCACTTTGGAAAGCTCCTGCCAGCTCCTCAAAAAGCTGGAACTGGAGTTACCATTGGCTCAGCGATTTTACTACCATATCTACACCCATGAGAAACAGAAATTTAAACCCACTCAAAAGCTTGCATCATAGATCCATAGCAACATGATTCAGAAAGTCCAAAAGAAAAAAAGAGGGAATAATCCAAAGGCTCATCTACTGATGAACGGATAAGCAGAATGTGGTATAGCAATATAATACAATGATATTTAACCATCAAGAAAGAATTTGGTTCTAATGCATGCCACAACATGAGAGGATCTTTAAAATATTATACCAATGGAAATAATCCAGTCACAAAAGAGGACATATCATATGATTCCAGGTATACAATATGTCTGTGATTAGCAAATCTAGCAAATTTGCATGGTCCTAACCAATCAGATAATCAAAACAACATTTATTAAATACTTACCAGGTTTAATGCCAGGGGCCTTAAGGGCAGAAAGACAGTCCCAAATACTTGTACTATGGTCTGAAAGGACTTTACCTATTTGTGCCCAGTTGAAGTGTGTATCCTCTACGCAACAGCCTATAGCTTGGCAGTTCAGATAAATAAATATTGATAGTTAGGTTGCTACTTATCAAACATTCATCTCAGAGTTCTTGATGTAGTCTCCATTAACGTATTGTTTTCTTGGGCTAGTGCTATGATTCAACAGGCTAATCCTCCACCTTCAAGCACCAGCATTCCATATAGGCAATGGTTCATGTCCCAGCTGTTCCACTTTCCATCCAGCTCCCTGCTTATGACCTGAGAAAACAGAGGAGGATAGCCCAAGTCCTTGGGACCCTGCACCCAAGCGGGAGACTCAGGAGAAGCTCCTGGCTTCAGATTAGCTCAGCTCTGGCCCTTGTGGCCATTTGGGGAGTGAACCAGTGGATCGAAGATCTTTCCATCTCTCCTTGTCTATATAAGATCTGCCGTTCTAACACATTGTTTTCTGTTTCAGGATGGGGCGATGACATCACTTGGGTACAAACTTACGAAGAAGGTCTCTTTCATGCTCATAAAAGGTACACTGTCCATTAGTTAATTTCAGTAGGTTATATATATACCTCATAAAAGATCCCAAAATGGAAGTGTTAGCTTTTTAAAACAACTGGCATTGCTAGAAAAAAAAAGAAATGAATTTAGAAAAATTATATGTTAAAAATATATTAATTCGAATTCAAATCCATGCTTGAATTTTTAAAAAGCAACTTGCATTTCATATTACTAACTTATTTAAATCAGTCCTAACAAGGAAACATCCATTTCAGGCGGGAAAAAAAGCCATCATGCTTCCTGGAAAAAAGAAACACAAGGATCCCATTAAAGTCTAGACAACTCAGGGCCACGTGCAATCACCACAATGGCTGTCATTACTCTGAGAGTATTAAGAATGAAATTGTGTACTTGCGTTAGCAGCACATATACTTAAGTTGAAACAACACAGAGAAGATTCTCATGGCCCTGAAGATGGATGACATGCAGATTTGTGAAGTGTTCCACATTTATCCTGTGGTTTGGCTACTGGGAGTGGTCCCCTTCCTTCGCTCACCCACCTTCCTGCCCCGACCAGTACAGGAGAAAAAAAAAAAAAAAGGAAAAACTGGAAGCATTTGTCTCACCCACTTTCCCCAGTACCTCTACCCTCCTCACCCCGACCAGTGGTCCAACTATGTAAACACCATGAAAAAAATAAAAAAGAAAGAAATTCAATGAGAAGTACTAAAATTTCGAGAGGAGAAGGTAAAAGTCTCCTTATTTGCACCTGATGATCTAAACATATTGTGGTAGCACTTGTGGTTTTAAAAAAAGAATGTGAATCTCTAAACATAGAATTATAGGTATAATATGTGTCTATATAAATATATACGTGTACACATGGATATGTATAATAACATACATAATACCCATCCCTATTCATAAATACACCTATATCTGAGTATGTGACCTGAAACTTCCAGAAAGAAGTAATAAGAGAAGGTGGCATTGTGGAGCAGCAAGTTTAAGTGTTGCCTGTAATCGTATGTCAGATCATCAAGTTCCAGCCCTGGCTGCTCTGCTTCCAGTGCAGCTCCCTGTGAATATGCCTGGAAAGCAGCAGAAAATGGTCTGAGTGCTAGAGGGGAGGCCAGGGTGGAAGTGCTGACCTCCTTGGGTCAAAACTGATCAGATCTATCGATTGAAGCCATTTGGGGCATAGACTAGTAGATACAAGATCTCTCTATTTCTGCCTCTTGCTCTGTCACTCTTGCAAATAAATAAAATAAATGTTTTAAAAAGAAATTGCAAGGGTAGGCATCTTACCTAATGATGAAGATGTCTGTGCCTCATATCGGAGTGTTTGGGTTTGATTAATACCTGCATCTGGTTCCTGACTCCTGCTAGCACAGACCCTGAGAGACTGTAGCGCTCTCCATTAGATTCCTGTCACCCATTGGACCTGCACTGAGTTTCCAGCTCCTGGGTTCAATATGGCCCAATCTAGGTGTTACCGGTGCTGTAGAAATAAACTTGCTGTCATCCTCAAAATGAATTTTAAAAAAAAGGAAGAGAGAGATGAGGAAAGGGGAAAAAAAGGGAGAGAAACGGAGGAGAAGGGGAGGGGAGGGGAGGGGAGGGGAGGGCAGGGCAGGGCAGGGCAGGGCAGGGCAGGGCAGGGAAGGGAAGGGAAGGGAAGGGAAGGGAAGGGAAGGGAAGGGAAGGGAAGGGAAGGGAAGACTGCTTACTTGTGGAAACTACAAAGGGAGTAAATATTTTTTAATGTTTATTTGAAAATTGTTCTTTTTTATTTGAAAGAGTTACAAATACAGAAGACAGAGTTCTTCTTCATTGATTGACTCCCCAAATAGCTACAGTGGCCAGAGCTGGGCCAGTATAAAGCCAAGAGCCACGTGTTTCATCCAAGTCTCCCACCTGATGCAGGAGCCCAAGAACTTGGGCCATCCTCCACTGCTTTCCCAGGCCATAAGCAGGGGTATGGATTGAAAGTACAGCAGCTAGGACTTGAATAGGCTCCCATATAGGATACTGGCACCATAGACTAGCCTACTATGCTCCAGTACTAACTCCTTAACTTTGAAATTTTAAACCAGCTGGATTGGACTCTATTTTAAAAGAAAAAAAGTACAGAGAATAGCAGGTGGCCCAGCAATCAAGACACTGCTTTGAATGCTCACATTCCATATTGGAGTGTTTTCGGAGTCCCCCTGCTAATATGTGTCTGAGAGACAACAAGTAAGGATCCAAATATGTGGCCTCCGCTGTCCACAGCTTTGAGCCCTGGCTCCTGGCTCTGGACTGACTCAGACATGGATGAAAAATCTTCTTATGTCTCCCTGCCTGCATGTGTCTCTCCTCTTTCTCTCTCTTTCTCTTTCAAATAAACAAATATATAAATATATATTTTTTCTTCCTTCTTTTATTACTATTACTATTTTAGATACTCTCTACATAGTTTATCAGGGTGATAAATATATTTTTTAAAGAAACAGAGAATCAAATATGAAAAGATAGTTGGCTGTTAAGGCTTTGGGGAAGGCTTTGATTTTAGAGTCCCAAATATATCAAAAATAATTCTGTCTACTCAGGCTTCTCCCAGCCTGAATTTACATTAAACTGCAGTAATGAGTTCCTACCTGTTACTTGCTTATATTTCAAGATACAGATTGAGTAAAATTATTAACAGTTCAGAGTTCCTACTTAACGCTGTGGTGGGGACCACAGAACGGTAGCTGGAATTCGGGACTATGCAGGCGTTGGCTGCAATCACCTCTGTGAACTGCTGAGTCACTAAGTGGACAGCGGAGCCTGGCAGCTTTGATGTTCACGGTCCTCTCACACTGCAAAATCATTTTTAAAATAGTCTTGTTTATGCACATTTTTCTTCAGCTAATCTTCTAATTTTTCTCTTAAGAGCAGGAAAGCCAGCCAGCTGCCACAAAAACTTTAGTCCCTAGTGCCAGCGATGTGATGCCAGATGAAGCTGCGGGTTGCGATGCCAGTGTCTCACCTCGGAGTGCTTGTCTGAGTCCCAGCTGCTCTGCTTCTGATCCAGCTTCCTGCTGATGTGTCTGGGAAAGCAGCAGATGACAGCTGAAGTGCTTGTGTCCCTGTCACTCATGTGGAAGACCAGGATGGAGATGGATAGGGTCAGGATCAGGATCAGGGTTAGGATTAAGCCCTACTCTGACTTATTGGGTTAGGACAGGATCAGGGCTAGGGTTAGGGTTAAGCCCTACTCTGGCTTGTTGGGTTAGGGTTAGGGTCAGGGTCAGGGTTAGGGTTAAGGTTAAGCCCTACTCTGACATGTTGGGTTAGAGTTAGGGTTAAGCCCTACTCTGTCTTGTTGGGTTAGGGTTAGGGTTAAGCCCTACTCTGGCTTGTTGGGTTAGGGTTAGGGTCAGGGTTAGGGTTAAGCCCTACTCTGGCTTGTTGGGTTAGGGTCAGGGTCTGGGTTAAGCCCTACTCTGACATGTTGGGTTAGGGTTAGGGTTAGGGTTAGGGTTAAGCCCTACTCTGGCTTGTTGGGTTAGGGTCAGGGTCAGGGTTAGGGTTAAGCCCTACTCTGGCTTGTTGTGTTAAGGTTAGGGTCAGGGTTAGGGTTAAGCCCTACTCTGGCTTGTTGGGTTAGGGTTAGGGTCAGGGTTAGTGTTAGGGTTAAGCCCTACTCTGGCTTGTTGGGTTAGGGTTAGGGTCAGGGTTAGGGTTAGGGTTAAGCCCTACTCTGCTTGTTGGGTTAGCGTCAGGGTTAGGGTTAGGGTTAAGCCCTACTCTGCTTGTTGGGTTAGGGTCAGGGTTAGTGTTAGGGTTAAGCCCTACTCTGGCTTGTTGCAGCCATTTGGGGACAGCAGATGATGGTTCCTCCCCTCCCCTCCTCTCTCTAACTCTGCCTCTGAAATAAATATTCTTTCATCATTTATTTTGACATTAATACAGAAGTGATCTTGAAAAACAGAGAACTCTCAATTAGATTATTTATGTGCTGTAGGTTGGTATAAGAGTGAAAAAGATGTGAAAATAATGAAATATTAACATTTGTACTACTAATTTAAAAAACGTAAACAAAAAAATTTACTTTCCTGAAGTTGTATACCAAGTGTTCACTGAAAATGCTTTTTAAATAGACAAAAACTTGTTATGCCTGAATGTTTTTGTTTTGTTTTCACACACTTGAAAAGAAGAACAAGAGAGCAAGAATGCAAGTGAGAGAGAAACTTTTGCTTTCGTGGTTCACTCCCCGAACAGCTGCAATGGCCCGCACTGGGGCAGGTCAAAGCAAGAAGCATAGAACTCCTTCAGGGTCTCCCATGTGGGGGCCAGCCACCCCCATGCACTTGGGCTGTCACCATGTGGGGGCCAGCCACCCCCATGCACTTGGGCTGTCACCATGTGGGGTCAGCCACCCCCATGCACTTGAGCTGTCACCATGTGGGGGTCAGCCACCCCCATGCACTTGGGCTGTCACCATGTGGGGGTCAGCCACCCCTGTGCACTTGGGCTGTCACCATGTGGGGGCCAGCCACCCCTGTGCACTTGGGCTGTCACCACTTGGGGGTCAGCCACCCCCGTGCACTTGAGCTGTCACCATATAGGGGTCAGCCACCCCTGTGCACTTGGGCTACCATCCACTGCTTCCCTGCATGCAGCAGCAGGAAGCTGGGTTGGCATCACAACAACCAGGACTAAACCCTGCGTTCCAGCAGAGGTTGGGGGGCCTCACTGACAGGGGCTTAACCTGCCATGCCACAATGCCAGCTCCCAGACACGAGCATGTATTCACACTGTTTCCTCATCTCTGAACACAGAATCTACTCAACTCACCACTGTACTATTGTGTACATGAAAATCACACGATGCTCTTCATATTCTGAGCGTTCCTCCCAAGCATTCTGATTGGGTGGGTGTGGGATGCAACTGTGAATTTCTGTTCCTCATAACCAATTTAGTGATATTGATGCAGTCAGCTGTGGAGCCGCCTGGGGAATAACATTTCTGTAGACAGTGCTGTTGTTTGTAAATCTAAGTCTTTGTTCTGCTATCCATCTTAACTCATGGTTAACCACTTGCCTTATTTTTATACTTTCTTTGTTTAGTAACAAGCCATTGATGGTTATTCATCACTTGGAAGACTGTCAGTACTGCCAAGGTATGTCAGCCACTGAAATATTATATTTCCAAAAGGAAGTAGAAGCTATCTGTTAAGAATAGCTAAGAAGATACCCCCAGCAAATTCTACTACCCCCCCAAAGAAACTTAAAGATGGACAGGCATTGTGGGGCAGTGGGTTAAACCATTGCAGGGAATGTCCACAGCCTATATAAAGAGTACATTGTTCATGGCTTCTCCACTTCTGATCCAGCACCCTGCTAACTCTCCTTGGATGTAGCAGATCCTGAATATTTGGTTTCCTCCAGATAGCCACGCAGGAGATTCAGGTCAAGTTCCTGACTTCTGGTCTTATTTGCTACAGGCAGTTAGGGTGTGAACCAGCAGATGGAAGCACTCTCTCACTGTCTTTCTCTCTCAATCCTACCCTTTCTGTCACTCTACTTTTCAAACAAATACAACTTAAAACATGTTAAGACACCTGCCAGAACATGGCAATAATGCTTAAGGGAAGCAGATTGCTAGCAAATTACTGAATCTATTGCTGTTGTTTCTCTATAGAATTTGATATTCTAATGTGGAGAGGTTCTTCCAGTAGGAAATTATTTTACTCAAGAAGTTAAGGGATCACGTGAAACTAGACAACCAGTGTCATCATAATGTGACTACACCTTGATGTCTCTGTGGACAGACTTTGTCTGTCACTGGGAAGCAGAGAAGGACAGAGTGGGAAGAGGTGAACAAACTGACCACAACCCAACTGACAACAGCCAACAAACGCATAGCAACAGCTTTACTTTGCTATGCTGTATGGAAGCTATCTTCATCTTTACAACTCACTGGCATTCTGTTTTGCCTCACAGCACTAAAGAAAGTGTTTGCCCAAAATGAAGAAATTCAGAACATGGCTCAAAATAACTTCATCATGCTGAATCTCATGGTAACAGCAACTCTGCAGTGATTCTTGACATCGGAATTGGGGCTGATGCAGTGAGAGACGGGGTTAAACCACCACTCGCAATGCTGCTATCCCATATCACAGTGCTAATCGAGTCCCAGTTGTTCCACATCTGATTGAAATTCCTGCTAATTCACCTGCAGAGGCAGCAGAGGATGGCTCCAACCTTGGGTCCCTTTCACACATGTGGGGGATAAAGATAGAATTCCTGGATCCTGGCTTTAACCAGGCCCAGCCCCAGCTCCGGGGACCATGTGGGTTAAGAAACCCAAACCTTCTCTCTCTCCTTCAGTTGCTCTGCATTGTAAATAAATAAATAAATGTATAATAAATATGTAAATCATTTTAAAATCATAATTTAAAAATGTTGTCTACTTCAAACATATGCATAGCTGAGTGTTAGCTGATAAATATAAATTCTAAAAAGGTCCAAAAATATTAAATCACATGAAACTCTTGTGAAATTAACTGCCAACAACAATGCAATGCAACAGCATTCACCCTTTTTCTCCCCTCCAGCATGAGACCACCGATAAGAACTTGTCACCTGACGGCCAGTACGTGCCTCGAATCATGTTTGTGGGTAAGTTGTAACGGGTCACTTGTACCTAATTAGAGGAAGCTTCAGGACGCTGGATGATTTTGTTGGGTTTAATTGCTAGTTCAAGTGCTCTTCCTGTTTCAAAGGAAGACATTTATAATGCAATCAATGACAGGTCATTATTTTTGCCATCAGAATCCACGAAACCATGGCAACCTTAGACCTACTGAGTAAGGCAGCAGAGTGCCTGGGTTCAGTTGGTAGTTTCACTCCCGACTCCAGCTCCCTGTCGGTCCCTGGCACAATGCCCTGAAGGGTCTCAGGGGAGAGCTGGATGGGGTTTCCAGCTTCTGATTTCAACATAGCCAGGGGTACTGAGTGCATCTGAGCAGCAAACCAACAGACAGGAATGCTGGCTCTCCCCCTCAGATAAATTAGTTTTCCTTTTTACAAAGACACTATCTATAGTTCATCAATTTTTAACATTATTGAAAAGTAAATTATGCTAATAACACAATGTCCCCCAGTGAGTTACCAGGACAGTGACCCCGCTGGATTCACAGAAAACTATGACATACTGAAAAAAAAAAATTGAATTAGTTTCATCATGAGTTGATATGTATGAAACTAATTTGCCTATAAATTTGTTTGCAAGTCATTTTAGAACAGGGGACAGAATCATGCTTCAGTGTCTCGCATTTTTCTTGGCAGATCCTTCACTGACAGTGAGAGCTGACCTCACGGGAAGGTACTCTAACAGACTGTATACCTATGAACCTCAAGATGTGCCCATATGTAAGTAGTCCTTAATACTTAACTCCTGCAGCAGTAGCAGCTGACCCCCACCGGTGTGTTAAGATGCCCTACATTCACTCTGCTGCACCACTAGTGCTGTCCACAAACCAGCATCCCTGGGGACCAGCTGTGGGACTGAAAATATAAACTCCTATCTCCCCCCAAGCCCAGAATTTCTGGGACATCACAGACTTTCTGTATTAACTGGGATATCTAAGGGATCTTAAGGTTGCTAAATTTTGAGATAGCTGTAAACAGCACAGCACACCTTAAAATGACAGAAACCTTAGGAGAGACGGTGCATTCTCCCAGCGTCCTGATCACACAGTATGTCCTCTTAGTGGGATCTTAGTGGGATCTTTTTATCTTCTTGAATGCCTATCAGCAAGAGGTACAGTCTTATGTAGGATCTTGATCCATTTCTTACAATATTCATTGCTAACTCTATTTAGCAAAGCTGAATCTTTGTGAAAAGTGATCATAACCAAACAAAAATCAGTTTAAAAATATGCTCCCTCAAAATCTCTCAGATAACATTACGTAACACAAGGTTCATCACCAACCCTGAATGGTCAGATCTCTAAATTTGTATCCATACTTTTGCATAGCATTCCTTAATGCTTCAGATGAATTTCCCTATTAGCAAAAGGCTACTGAAGATTTAAGTTGAAAATTCTGGAGTTAGCAGATTGTAACATTTGATTGATATATATACATATATATATATTAAATTGCATAATAGATTCATCCTTGTTTCAGTGATAGAAAACATGAAGAAAGCGCTAAGACTTATTCAGTCTGAGTTATGAGAGCTGACGGAAAGACGGCTTCCCTTCTGAAACGCCGAATGTCACGAGGAAACCCCTGGCTCATTAATAAAGACTAAATGTGTAAGCATATGCATTTTGCAACATTACCTGCAGCATTAGCAGGGAAGATCTCTCTGTCTCCCTTCTGCTCTCTCTCTTTCTCTCTCTCTCCCTCCCCTTTCTCTCTCTGCAACTCCGCCTTTCAAAGAAGTAAATCAGTCTCTCTTTTTTTGAAAAAAAAAAAAGGAAATAAACTAAGTTGTATTTTTAAAATTCAAAGAAAAATGAGTGGCGTTTAACCTAACAGTTAAGACATCCATCACCCACCTTTCACTTTGCCTGGGTTCTTGATACCCATCTCTGGAGCGTGATTGACAGGTGCCTGCTAACAGGCATCCTAGAGGCAACAGTGATGGACCAAGTGCTTGGGTCCTGCCACCCTAGTGGGGGTTCAGGTTGAGTTCTCCACCTCAGCCTGGTCATGCCAGGCTACTTGCAGAGTGAGCCAGGGGACTGGAGTTTTTTTGGTTTCTCTCTGCCTCTTGAATACATGTTTTTAAACGCAACTACATTTTTATAAATTATCAAGTAAATATTTGCAAAGTTTTAATAGTTTCAAGAAAATCATAAAGGCCACAGGAAAACTGGAAAAAAAAAAAAAGGTTCTTAACTAGCAGAAGAGGAAGAGGATTTTATCCATTCTGAAATGGTCAGATCTCCAACCACCAGTCAGTCATTCCCAGGAGCCTCTTCAGGGTCCAACATCATGTCTTCTATTCCTTTAAATAACACTTAGACCAAAGCTCCTGCCGCTGGAAATCCCACACTCAGCTTGGAGTAATTAAAAGAATTGAGAAGCTCTAGATTTTATTAACCAGAAATTTTCTAACTCATAGGATTTGAATGTATTTAACAAAATGTGAACTGCTTTGAAATATCAAAATATATCCTTGAGTGAAATACACACACACACAGTGATGTAGACCAGATACTGGTTAATACACTGTGACAATCAGAGAACCAATGGTTTCCTCTGGTTGTTATTTGATCCCAATTGGGTTTTCAATTTTAGCAAACTTTTGGTAAATTGTCCTTGTTAGATAGAAGTGAAATAATCTAGATATTCAAGTAACCTATTTGCAAAAGAACATTAAATGTTCTATCATAGAATGCAATATTTAATTTTTGTTTTGTTTTAGATCAAAGCTTAGAATTTTTGAAATGAATGCAAAAAGGTCAAAATGCATCGGCATTCTTTAACAATTTAATGTACAAAGTCTGAAGCAATAGAACTGATCTCATTGATGCCTAAATCATGCAAGGCAAAAATATCCACACATATTTTCAGGGAACCACAGAGGCGATCGGTTGACAATTTAGCTGTTGTTTTAAGAATTAATAAATAAAACTGCAGGAAAACATGTGAGTTTAACTTGGCAGGAAAGATGTCTGTGTCCCTCACAGGGGAGCTTGGCTTTGTCCTTCCACTGGCTGGAGATTTCAGCTTTCTGCTGATGCACTCCCCAGGACACAGCAGAGATGGTTCATGAACTGGGTCTCTGCCACGAATTGAGTTCCTGACTCCTTGCTTCAGTCTTCAATTCACATACAAATGTAAAAAAGGTGATCAGTTGATTTTTTTATAACATAAATGTATATTTTTTATTTTGAAATAATTACACTTATAGAAGGAATTATATTATGCATGTGGTTATTACCCACACGCATCTATTATATGTTTAATGATTTGATGGTCAGAAACATCAGACAATGGAGTCTGGTGACCAGTTTAGTTTTCCTTATCTACTCTAACTTTTTAAAATCTACATCCTGGTGGATGTTTCTACCTAGTATTTTCACTTTCTGAAACTTGTTATTTGGATTCAGTCACTTCTAGTGTTACCTCTACATTTGGTGTGTGTTCATGTGCTTGTGGTCTCTGTGTGTGTCTGTGTATGTGTGTCTTTATACCCCTTACTTTACCTCTGTAACTGCATAAAGTTCCTCATTCCTAAACATACCCAACCTGTTGATCAAAAAATTACTTGTATCAACTCCCTGAAATGGTAGGTGCACTTCTACATGCATAAGTACTTTCAAAGGAGAATTTTCAGAGCTTTAATGAGTTTCAAAGAGATGTAATAATTTTTAAGTTAGATATACAAAAGTACTTAGAATAGAGTTACATCATAAGACAGCAAGTTTAGAGATAAATAGCATTTTTTTAAAATCCAAACACGTCCAATGGCATCTCTTTTTGTACTGTTTGTTTCTTATGTGAAGTTAGAATGATGTGCATTTTCGCTTGCTCAGATACTCCAAGTTTAGAATGGCTGCAATAATCTCCTCCTATTCCTTTAATCCCTCTCCCCGTTTTATTTTTCCTAAAACATTACCTTACTATGTTTTTAGCTCTTGTATTTCTAATACATAAATTTATACAACCTATTGAGTACTATGTGAGGGTTTTAATCAGTGTATATTGTGTAATATTCAATTCAGAGTAAATGTACCTATCTCTTTTGTATTTCAGTTTCTGAAATTCAAATAGCTCAATTATTTCACTTCATTTCATCTTCCTCAGTTGTCAGCATTAACGCTGTGCTCTGGGCTAGTTAACAGGGTTGGTATTGCGACTCCAGACAGCAATTGAATAAAGTAAAGCAAGCCTGCTTCCTTTACCCCAGAGAATCCATAACTTAGTGATGAGATGCCAACAGGTGGGAAGTAAATGATCAGCAAATAACGGGACAGGGACAGATGGGATGGACAGAGATCCCCGCTGTCTTTGTCATGTGCCACATGAAACACAGGGCTCCTGCATCTTCACTGTCATGAGAACTCTGTGATGAAATTGAAACTAAAATAGATTGCAGGGGCTAAAGAAACTCATGCTTACTGATGTCAGCCTGAATCAAAAAAGTATACTGAGTTATCTTAGGGGAGTGTCTCAGCAGCAGCTTAGAGTTCATAAACAGATGCCAAGCTCCAGACACACGTACGGATTTTAGTTACTTATCTATTTCAAATGCAAAGAGAAAAACAGAAGAGACAAAGACTGAAAGATCCTTCATCTGATGGTTCAACTCTCCAAATTCTGCAAACAGGTGAAGCTTGCCCAGGGAGAAGCAGGAGGCAGCAACCATCCAATTCTCCCACGTGAGTGACAGGGACCCACCTACTTGGGTTATTACCTGCAGCCTCCCAGGGTACACTTCAGCAGGAAACTGGAATGGGAGAAGGAACCAAGGCACAAACCCAGGCAGTGTCTCAACTGCTGAAGCAACTGCCTTCCAAAACTCTGCAATGCATTAATTTACAATTCATAAAGATACAGAGATTTTTCTCGTATTTACAGAAATATATCTTAAAACACTTATATAATCATTCTTATATATGATATATATACTTATATATATACTTATATAAACATTCTTAATGAGTAAAACAGAATAAACATCTGCCCTGTTTTTAAAAATCTGTTTCTTGGGTCTCAGTGTTGTTGTGCGGTAGGTTAATCTATCGCCTGCATCCCATATGAGCACTGGGAGTCCCAGCTGCTCCACTTCTTGTCCAGTTCCCTGCTAATGTGCCCGAGAAAGCAGCAGAATCTGGCTCAAATGCTTAGGTCCCGGTCACCCAACCTGGAGACCTGGCTGGAGCTCCTGGCTCCTGACTTCAGCCTGGCTAGCCTGGCCAGTGTGACCCAGCCCTGGCCATTGCAACTATGTGGAGAGTGAGTCAGGGAAAGATCTCTATTGTTCTTGCTATCACTCTCACTCTCTCTCCCTTTCTGTAGCTCAGCCTTTCATGTAAATAAATAATAGTTGTTTCTTGAAGCCTGCGCTAGGCTCGTCAGCCTGATCCTCCATGCTGTGATGCCAGCATCCCATATGAGTGCCAGTTTGTGTCCCAGTTGCTCCACTTCTGATCCAGCTCTCTACTTATGGCCTGTAAAAGCAGCAGAGGATGGTCCAAGTCCTTGGGACCCTATGTCCACATGGAAGATCGAGAAGAAGCTCCCAGTTCCCAGCATTGGATAATCTCAGCTCTGGTCATTGCAGCCATTTGGGGAGTGAACCAGTGGATGGAAGAACTCTTTCTCTGTCTGTCCTTCTCTCTGTAAACCTGCTTTTCAAATAAACATAAATAAATCTTTAAAGATAAAAGTTGTTTCTTGTGCAATGTCTTTTTCACAGAATCGAAAACCCTTGGGGACAGAAAACCCGTGTCCTACCCTGACCTCATTGTTCTCATATAACCACAGGAAGCAACTTGTCTGTTGGGAAGACAGGAGCGTGAAGACTGTCCTCAATAGAGAAATGCAATGAACACAGACAAGATCCTACACCCCTTTTCTGGAATACATCCACTGAATTTTTTTTTTCTGGATATTGATTACTACAACTTCTGGAGATGCAGTATGGTTATTTCCTAGGAGAGGACGCCACTGCAGGTTGAACTGTATGTCAGTACACACACACACACACACACATGCACAGACAGGGCAGTCCCAACCCCACTCTGCCGATGTGACTTATTTGGACATAAGGTCCTGGGTGATACAATCCTGAAAATGAGGATGTGCTGGAACAGTATATGCCCCTAGCCCAATATGACTATTATGACAGAATTAAATATGACAGAATTTGGCAGCATCGCATAGACAGGATTTCCTGTGAGACTGTAGACGTAGATCAAGATCATGAAACAGAACCCAAGGAATGCCAGAGGTTCCCAGGCTAGAGACAAAACACGTGCTCTTCCACTGCTCTCAGAGGCAGCAATCAATTACAGGTTGCCACAGTCCTCAGTTTTCTTTCTTTCTTTTTAAGATTTTTATTATTTATTTTTATTATAAAGTCAGATATACAGAGAGGAGGCGAGACAGAGAGAAAGATCTTCTGTCCGATGATTCACTCCCCAAGTGACCGCAACGGCCAGTGCTGCGCTGATCTAAAGTCAGAAGCCCAGATAATCCTCTGGGTATCCCACACGGGTGCAGGGTCCTAAGGCTTTGGGATGTCTTCGACTGCTTTCCCAGGCCACAAGCAGGGAG